TGTGTGTAAATAGTACAACTGACCAGCTTCAGTAGCAGAGATGTTAGTGATGTCATTTGATTGTCACATCATGGAAACCGATGATGTCACTATTGTCTGCAAAGCATTGTGATGCAATCGCTTGATCTCACCCAAGCCATATCTCCTGTGGAAGCCAGTTTTGGATGATAAAATAAAATTTGATTTGGGAGCCAAAGTATGTTAGAATCCCAAGGTCAGCCAATACATCCATTGTTTCCAAGTCTTTCCCTCCTTGATGCCCCCAACATGGACTTTGCCTGGCAGTGTTATACGTGGCCCTGAAGATCCGGGGTAGAATAGGTCTTCAGCAACCCATGCTTGCTGTAAGAGGCGATTATGCTTGTCGTAAGAGGCGACTAACGGGATCGGGTGGTCGGGCTCGCTGACTTGGTATAATGCATGTCATCTTATCCCAATTGCGTCGATCGATGCTCATAATGTCAATCACTGGCTTGTCTGGTCCAGACTCTATTTTAAAGCTGGAATATTGCTGAGTGCTGCGTTAAACAAGAAACAAACAAAACAAACAAAACTTAGTGTGATCTCATCAAGGACGGGAAGTTGGGTAGCCTAGTGGTTGAAGTGTTTGCCTATCACACATTGAACCCACGTGGGTACAGTGTGTGAGCCTTTTTCTGGTTTCCCTGCTGTGATATCGCTGGAAAGTTGCTTAAAGTGGGATAAAACCATGCTCTGTCAAGGAAAGCAGCACGCCAGTCTCTGAGTAGCAACCATTTCGGTGGACAAATGCGACTTGAATCTATGATTGATGGCCTAAATATATCTACTGCTGGCCACTTGGCTACCTAAAAATCAACATAACTGGCCTCAATATCTGTTTAAGATAACCTTTGCTCCTAAGGTTTGGCTCCTGAAATATTCATGTTAGGAGCCGCTTGGCTCCCATACAAAAAAACAACAACTTAGAGAAGTGTAAGCACTGTAGCAGCAGCTAATGATGACTTGAGTGCTTTGTTGTGTTCTGTGAGGCAATGTTATACATAGGGACTCATCTCCTGATCTTATAGGCCACAATAACCCCAAGAGACAAAAACATGTAGTGGAAATAGACCATAGTTCTTTCTGCTTGTCCCACTGGCAGTCGGGGGCGTAGTTTAACCAGCTATGAGAACATTGTGTTACTTAGGTCAAGGTCACTTGACAATATTTATTTATTTATTTATTTATTTATTTATTTATTTATTTATTTATTCTGTAGAAGTGCAGTAATCTTGAATGGGACATTAAGTCCCTTGTCACCTCACCTCACCTCACCTCACCTCACCTCACCTCACCTCATGTGATATTTTATTGGAAGTCAGTTGGTCCAGCTGCTTTCGTGTCAGGTCGGGATCGCCTGTTTGAAGCTGCTTTTGTGTGGTGTGGCATGGGATGAATCTATTGTGAGTGGAAAAGGACTAAGGGAGCATCCATTTGATTTGAAGGGGTGAATTATTTTTTAGAACATTATATTTTTCCCAGCTGTATCAAACAAACTATTAATTTACAGAGCACCATCAAACAATCTAATAATTTTCATTATCATCACAAAAGATTGATGTTTGGGTATTGTTTTCACCACTGCCAACAAACAATTTTACACACACCCCCACCCCCACCCCCACCCCCCAGAAATCAAATGGATGCTCCCTAAGGTTTCCTGACGATTTGAAAAATTGTTAATCATATGTCGAACTTGTGATGTGCAGATCATCGATAATAATCGAGATATGATTGGTCGTAATGGCTGTAGAAGCCCATAATCGATATCTGGAGGAAAATATCATTTAATATTTAATGTTCATTTCATGATCGACCATCCATTAAAGCTGCATATAGGTGCAATAATCTTGAATGCAACGTTAAACCCCATTTCACCTCACATTGAAGAGAAATTATGTTCCATGGTCCAGTGCCCAGTGCCAGACATTGTAATTAGTACAATGTGGGATCTGAGACATGGTCTTGGAGTGATTAGAGTCATCATCAACCACAAGATTGGTCTTCCTCTTACAATGTCAGGTTGTAGACAGGTCATTTTGTGTTTAATGACTTGAATCGAGCTTGCTGCAACGACGCATTGGCCCGAGTCTTACACGCACGAGAATGTCCATCTGTGGTCAGCGATGCTCGGATCATCGTGCTGACTGGACATGGTCTTCTGTCAGAGGCCGAAATGGCGCCAATGGATGTTAAAAATGGGCAGTGTTCCTTGGTTGGGTGTCGGGGGTAATTAGCCGCCAATTATTGGCAGATTATCATGGAGCCAACAACTGGAGTTGGCCGTTCAATCAATCAATCTGGGTTATCTATAAGTAGGTCAGGGGCCTAGTTAATTGTTTTTATTGGGCATTGAAGAAGATAAAACTCTTGTACGTTATTGATGGGGGACTTCCTGGCAACCTATTTAAAGAGATTCCAGGATGCACTGGTAGCACACGTTTCAGCACGCTGACCGGATACCCTCTTTGGTCATGGACATGGTGTCTCAGCTGGGATAAAAATGTCTGGTTCGAATCTCGTCGGTGGACTCATATATTTCTGGCCGCTACACTCTGTATTTTTTCCAGTCTTGTTCTGACATTTTGATTGCTGCCGTGTTGGAAACTGAAGTAGTCATTTGGGTGATCATGAACTTGTGGAGTGGTGGGGTAGCCTTGTGGTTAAAGCATTTGCTTGTCATGCCGATGCCTCGTGTTTTATTCCCAACATGGGTAGAATGGGTGAAGCCTGTGTCTAGTGTCACTTCCTGTATACTGCTGGAATAATGAGCAAGTGATGTAGCTCTTTACTCATTGAGGGGGCACGGGTGGCCCAGTCGTCTAAGGCGCCGCGATTCGCTGTGCAGAGTTGCATCCCTTGAGCATGCCAGAAATCTATGATTGTGGGTTCGAATCCCGCTTCGCCCCGATTATGTTTCTAGGTTTGTCAGCACCATACCCGTGCCCGTGGGTTTCACCGAAGTGGTAAACGTCTGAGACCTGCATCACTTCAGGCTTTCCTCCCTCATTAAGCTGACACGCTGTGATATAACTGTAATACTGTTAAAAGCGGCGATAAGCCCAACTCACTCACTCACTTTACTCATTGATAGACTGACGGAGAAAAACAGAGAATGTTATCCAAGTTGATAAAAGTTACCAATATCCTTGCCTTGCTGAAGATTTTTTCACTTTTATCATTGGGTCTGAGATTCTATTTATCATCCAAAATCAGTAACCAACTTTTTCAGTTTGTAAACGTTAGTAACCAGTGTCTTGTGTGTAAATAGTACAGCTAACCAGCTTCAGAAGCAGAGATGTTAGTGATGACATTTGATTGTCACATCATGGAAACCGATGATGTCACTATTGTCTGCAAAGCATTGTGATGCAATCGCTTGATCTCACCCAAGCCATATCTCCTGTGGAAGCCAGTTTTGGATGATAAAATAAAATTTGATTTTGGGAGCCAAAGTATGTTAGAATCCCAAGGTCAGCCAATACACCCATTGTTTCCAAGTCTTTCCGTCCTTGATGCCCAAAACATGGACTTTGCCTGGCAGTGTTATACGTGGCCGTGAAGATCTGGGGTAGAATAGGTCTTCAGTAACCCGTGCTTGTCGCAAGAGGTGACTAAGGGGATTGGGTGGTCAGGCTTGCTTACTTGGTTGATACACATCATCCCAACCTAGCGCGGGTAAACGGCGGGAGTAACCATGACTCTCTTAAGTCTCTCGCACTGAGGGCCGAGTCATTCGGACTATGGCGGGAAGCGGGCGCGGAAAAAGGCGCTGACTGGGCAAGGCCACCCCTTCGGGACCAATTTAGCGTGCGGGTTAGCCCTTGACGGGGCCATCTCCGCGTCGTTTGGCAAGCAACGGCCAGCTCAGAACTGGCACGGACCAGGGGAAACCGACTGTCGAATTAAAACAAAGCATTCGATGGCTGCCGCCTGGTGCTGACGCAATGTGATTTCTGCCCAGTGCTCTGAATGTCAAAGTGAAGAAATTCAATCAAGCGCGGGTAAACAGCGGGAGTAACCATGACTCTCTTAAGATGACTCTGAGAAGAGCTGGATCAGAGTGGGCTATTACGCACCATGGTCCAACAGGGGGTTACCTCTTCGCGGTGGAGCTATCAACTGACCTCAGGGTTGGGCCAAATATAAAGGACGAGAGTCCCAAAATCACTGATGATGAATGTTTAACATTCAAGTCTCAGTACGGATGCAAGGTTCCGTGTCCCCCCGAGGGGGCTAAACGTTGTCATTTTGCCGATCGGCTGGGAATCGCAATTCGCTAAGATCCATGCCGTCATGAGCAGTAGGACCCTGCTGCGCATTTGATGTACCACGAGGGTCCCAGATAGGGACGAGAGGAATTGGTATAACATAACCTCTCCGAGGTAATTACTCCGTGAGGGTGAACGGTGTGACGCCTCCAATCTGATGGCGAAATGAGAATCATCGCTGACTCTCCTACTAATAACCATGACTCTCTTAAGGTAGAGACAACCTGTGCTTGTGGGTTTCACCGAAGTGGTAAACGTTTGAGACCTGCATCACTTCGGGCTTTCCTCCCATATTAAGCTGACACGCCGCGATATAACTGGAATACTGTTAAAAGTAGTTATAAACCCATCTCACCCACACCACCACAAATACGATTCATATTTTATTTGGAATATGTCAAATGCTAAATATTCCTGCTTCAAGCAAAAAGTTTGTATTACTAATGTTTTCCAGGTTGGTATAGATGGCGTGTTTCGCCCAGTAGGCAAAATACAGACAATAATTGAAATTTATCCTTGTGTAAAAATTTCAAACCACCTCCTAGGGCTTTGCCCTATTAAGACTCAATTTCCAAATTATCCAGCTCAACAGGGTACAGTGTTTGATGGAATGGAAGGAATGGAATATTCAAGTGTATAAACCATCGTGATGAGATGATACGGAGGCAGAGATAACTCAGGTGTAATGCTGCTGCTTTTGTGTTGCAGATCTGAAGCGAGAGGCCAGTATCTGTCACATGCTGAAGCATCCCCACATTGTGGAGCTACTGGAGACCTACAGCTCCGAGGGCATGCTGTATATGGTCTTCGAATAGTGAGTATTGCTTGTTATCACATAGGATATATATGTTCTCCATGCCTGAGTCGAGGTGTGTGGTATTGGACATGGTCAGTATTAGTTGTTATCACATAGGATATGTCCAGGTGTGTGGTCAAGGACATGGTCAGTATTGTTTGTTATCACATAAGATATATATGTTCTCCATGCACGGTCAAGGTGTGTGGTATTGGACGGTCGGGTAGCCTAGTGGTTAATGTGTTCGCTTGTCACGCCGAGGACCTGGGTTTGATTCCCCACATGGGTACAATGTGTGAAGCCAATTTCTGATATCCCCCAACCCACACCGTGATATTGCTGGAAAACGTAACACAATACTCACTCACTATTTGAACTTAAAATGTCTTCAACATGCCAGTTCATACACATTGTAGAGAACAATCTCCAATCAGCCAGTCGAATATAATGCCATCCTGGACATTCATAATCTCCTTATCAAACTGGAGTAGTACATACATCTGGGACCCGTGAACATCCGGGGCAGAATAGGTCTTCAGCAACCAATGCTTGTCCCCCATGAAGATCCGGGGTAGAATAGGTCTAAAGGCAACTATGCTTGTCGTAAGAGGCGACTAACGGGATCGGGTGGTCAGGCTCGCTGACTTAGTGGATACATGTCATCGTATCCCAATTGTGTGGATCGATGATCATGATGTCAATCACTGGATTCTCTGGTCCAGACTCAGTTATTTACAGACTGCCGTCATATAGCTGGAATATTGCTGAATGCAGCGTAAACAACAAACAAACAAACAGACATTCATCTGGACATCAGACACGTTTCTCCTGGATGACTGTCATGACTTAAGGGGGGCGGTCGGGTAGCCTAGTGGTTAAAGCGTTTGCTCGTCACGCCGAAGACCCGGGTTCGATCCCCAACATGGGTACATTGTGTGAAGCCCGTTTCTGGTGTCCCCCGCCATGATATTGCTGGAATATTGCTTAAAGCGGCGTAAAACCATATTCACTCACTCATAAAACATCACAAGACTTTTCCAACATTTATGCTTTAACAAACAAAACAAGCATACTAATGGAATTGTACAACATCATTAGTATTTTAAATTAGATACAGAAATTCCACAATCCAGCCATATTCATTTGCCTGTGATAAAGATACAGAGAGATCGGTCTGATAGTTCGTGTCATCCCTGGGCAAGGGCTATGCTAATGCAAGCACTTGATTTGATGTAAAGATTCAGCGTGGCGAAGTGAAGCCAGTTGATAATATTTGGTATGATACCTAGACTTAATTAGCGTGACTTAATTTGCTTGTAGAGGCTTGGCCATCAGTGCCTCATTCAACGTATAATTTAGGGCCATGTTTGCGGAAGTGTTGGTGAATGAACATGACTGCATGGACAGATCACACGATCAGAAATAATTCTCTGTCATACAAAACGTCTGTCTGGCAGAAGACATCCCAAGATAGGAACAATAGTTTACCATTATGGTCTTTGAACACACAATGCCATTTGGAAGGTGTTAAATGTAACAAATGTTATATTTAGGATAACACTTTTCTACAGATTCTTGTACTTTTTTGGGTTGAGTCCCGTCTGGGATTCAAACCCACACTGCCAGAGTGAGGCACCTCATCGCCAGCACATAAAGTCAGCGATCTAACCCACTCAGCCTCCGAGGCTTCCACAAAAATGAAAGTCTGATAACTAGTAGTCTAGATCATGTACTTTGTGTACCCCTCTGACAAGTTGAAATTGGCACGGCCGAAAGCTATGAATTCACAATGCCATTTAGAAAGTGGTCAAATGTAACAAATGTTATATTGGGGATAACACTTTCTCAGGGAAGTGCAGATTCTCGTACTTTTTTGGGTTGAGTCCCGTCTGGGATTCAAACCCACACTGCCAGAGTGAGGCACCTAATCACCAGCACACAAAGTCAGCGATCTAACCCACTCAGCCACCGAGGCTTCCTCCAAAATGAAGTCCGACCCCAAAAAGTACGAGAATCTGAACTTCACTCAGAAAGTGTTATCCTCAATATAATATGTGTTACATAATGGTCCTGCTCATAAAATTCTGTGTGTTTGTCAGGGTTATTTAAGAATTTACGTCAATATTTGTTTGATTCAACTGCACCTCGTCCTTTGCTCTCAACCTTATTTGCATATTTATCTTCCCCGTCCTGTCATCGAAGCCCTATGGAGAGCTAACGATATATAGTCACTTTGAGATGTAAAGAATTTGTCATGCACCTCACAGCATTATGTAGTAGAATATCTATATAATTATGCCAAACAATATGTAAAGCACCCCGAAAGGCTTGCATATTACACTGAGGTAAAACCCATGACTGAAGGAATAGTACTTACAAACCATGAATCGTTATCATTACCAGAGACCATATACCGATATGGTCTCTGTCATTACCAATCAGGGATTAAAACCCATAACCAGAGCTCCAGATAAGCTGCGTATCTGCGTGAAATACGCATCAGAAATGCAGAAATACACAGTAAAATATAATCCAAGCGTATCAAATACGCAACGAACATTACAGATACGCTTCAAAAATAAAACTTGTGCGTATCATCAAAATATTGTGAAGTAACCCTGCGTATTCGATTAGCAAATCAGCAACTTATTTTGAAATTATAAACGGGCATTCCGTCAACCTTGCCAAACTCCACGATGACAGTTACATCATGATCATTTGCCATCACACTTTCTTGTGGAAGTATCGTGGTATTTTTTAGTCCTATAATGCTCTCGAACCCCCACGACACCAGTTTGCAGGGACTAGATGAATAGTGTTTTTAAATATTTAACTTAAATACCCACATGTGTAAAAACTAGTGGGTAACAGAAATTTGAATACGCAGATAGAATTACTGATACCCAATGATTTTAAAATGCATGGGTAAAATACCCACAACACCAAAAGCTTATCTGGAGCTCTGCCATAACATCAGGAAAGCACTCAATTTCCAAGTAACATGAGAACATTCTGAAAAACTGCTAATAAATGGGTCAAAGGAAATTCATCCATCATGACATGATGATAAGAAATTTAGCATCTTATACCAAAGAAACAAACTTACTACAAACTCGCATCTGCTTGGAATCTGTGTCGGCTTCAAACAAAGCACAGTCGCCATTAGGAAAAGGCCAAATGAATATATAGAAAGTGATTCTGTGGCATTTGATTAACTATCAAGATTTTTTCCACAAATTGAAAAAGTGAAAGCCGATTGGCTGATTGGCTGATTGGCTGATTGGCTGATTGGTTGGTAAGCATCTCCGCACCAGTCAAGGGAGTTAACTTACTGAAAAAGTCTAGTTTCCACGCTTGCAGAACAAGGCTGGAATTATGGAGTTACATTTTCGCTGGACTAAGAAGTCTGCATAGTCCAATCAAAATCGTATAACATCAAGGATTTGAACTTGCAGGATTTAAGTCGACTTCACGATTTGTAAAGGATGTGTATCGTCCACTTTTAACCCCCTTGCCTCAAGATGGCTGATATCGGAATGGGAAGGGCTTGGCTTGTATTCTTACACTCATTGTACTTGTTACCCTGCCTGGCGCTTGGCATTAAGGGACGAAGACAAGGACTGGTCGGCTCGGAGTCAGTATACTGTGTCTGAGTGGGGTATTCATGTTAAACTGCTGCAAGGTATCTCAGTGAGCTAGCACTATAAATCGGCATCAGTCCGGACTAGTACAAGCTGCCACACACAAAGACACATGAGCATGCCTGTTCCTATATAAGTGCAATAATCGTGGACGCGATGTTAAACCCCATTTCACCTCATCTCCGTGATTAGCACGTCAGCATATACAGTGGATACCTTGAAGAAATGTCACTTTTTCACTTTCCACTCCAGACCCACAAACCCACTGCTCTAGAATTCTTGAGCAGCATTGATGTGTAAGCTTGAAGTACGTTATTGGGATGTGATTGTAGTACATGTGACCCAAGTACCGAATGCCCATTGGCTCCTTGCCTTTTCTTGTGCTCTTATATCTAAAATAGTCTTTTGCTGATGGCTGTTGCTGTGGCAATGCTCTCTTAGTCAATCCTTCCCAAATGAAACATTCACTGAAACTAAAAAAATGATTTGTTCTGAGGGAAAAGTTTTCAGAATGCTATATGAGCATCATTGTGTCTTCGTCATCACTGTTGCTGAAATAGTGTTTTCCTGACTTGTTCTGATTGGTTCATGATGTAGAGCAGTTGACCATTGTTTGCTGCTGTTGTGTGCCGAGAACATGACACTGTTGTTGAGAGTGGAAGGGTATCGGCAGTGGCTGTAAAGAGCTGCTGTTGATTACATAATAGGAAGCCTCACAGTGTCACACATGCCTGTTTGTGTGTGTGTGTCAGTTGAATGGGAGATAAGTTGGGCACTGTAGGTGACAATCCAGTATGTCATGGTTGTCTTCTTGTGGGTATCTGGGTTGGAATGGGTGTCCAATACCTCATGGATGTCTTCTTGTAGGTATGTGGGTTGGAATGGGTGTCCAGTACGTCATGCTTGTCTTCCTGTGGTATCTGGGTTGGAATGGGTGTCCAGTACGTCATGCTTGTCTTCCTGTGGTATCTGGGTTGGAATGGGTGTCCAGTACGTCACGCTTGTCTTCCTGTGGTATCTGGGTTGGAATGGGTGTCCAGTACGTCATGCTTGTCTTCCCGTGGGTATCTGGGTTGGAATGGGTGTCCAGTACGTCACGCTTGTTTTCCCGTGGGTATCTGGGTTGGAATGGGTGTCCAGTACGTCATGCTTGTCTTCCCGCGGGTATCTGGGTTGGAATGGGTGTCCAGTACGTCATGCTTGTCTTCCTGTGGTATCTGGGTTGGAATGGGTGTCTAGTACGTCATGCTTGTCTTCCTGTGGTATCTGGGTTGGAATGGGTGTCCAGTACCTCATGGATGTCTTCTTGTAGGTATCTGGGTTGGAATGGGTGTCCAGTACGTCATGCTTGTCTTCCTGTGGTATCTGGGTTGGAAT